GTGCGTTTTTATCAAATATTTGGGATTCCATGAGATCTCAAAACGGGCGATGAAACTGAAAATGCGTTATAAGTTGCATTGCCATCTAATTTTTTTGTGTAAGTGGTGGATATTGTATGTGTTTTTATTTAAGAACGGATATCATTTTAAACTTGGCTGGATATTCTCTGTATAGTGCTCGCAAACCTCGACAGCGTCATAGGCAATGTACAAACGTTAGTGAGGAGATCCAATCAGGATATCCGTGAGTAAGGCGCTGCCTAAAACAGCTTGCATCCGCTTCGACATCTTCTTCTTATTTGGCCTTCATATTTCTTTGCCACATTAAGCGGATACCGTGTTGATTATTTGAACACTGCATCATTTGCTTTAATTCATTTGACATCGCCTTAGCCAGCGCGGCCAGTGTATAAAAAGATGTTGAGATGTTGTGTATCGTTTCTTCACTCTGCCTAACTTTCTGATACAATTTTCGGGTATTCTTCCTATAGGTTAGCATGTCAAACTCTTCGCACTCATGCACTCGACTTCCGTCTATTCTTTCCGGCGGCGAAACGTAAGAAGCTCGAAATTTGATTCGCTATTCGTGAGATTCCACAGTGGGCCAGAAGGCTGAATAAGTGGCCAAAACCCAATATAATTTAAAAGTTTAAAATTATAAACTTTTTTAATATAGATACTTTGAAATATGCAAAAACAAAATAGGAAACTCGTGGTAATGCATGTTTTTATTGGGCATCTTCAAATGGAAATTTTTAAGTTATCTTTACGAATCATGAAATTTCCTTTAAAATGTCATTCAATCGTAAGTGCATATTTTGCCTGTTTTTACTTATTTATTGCGCATATTTTAGCATATTTTACAAAAAATGCATTTTGTTTTTGTATAGTTTTGTTGGTTTGAGTTACAACCATAACCATAAATTTAGCGTGACATTTCTTGATAAAAAATTACCTATAATTAAAATAAAAAAAAAATTATCTGAACCAATGTATTCAACTGTCAATGTTTCTATTTGCAAGAGATTGCAACGATGATGAAGATTGCACCACAGGAATTAATACACCTTTTCAATTGCTAGACTGCCGCGAGCTTGAAAATGAAGATAGGTACTAAATAATTAGTTTTGTCTCTTTTGACAAAAACAATCTAATTGCTGATGTATGAAATTGCAATGGAATTAATGTAAGCCTTTTTAGTTTTTTTTAAGTTGTTGAGTTTTTTCTTCTGTTAATTACATTATTAAAAAAAATACAATTAAAATTAAAAAAAAAATAATAAAAAAAACATCCAATTGCCAATGACTAAGATTACGCTGGAACTAATGAAGATATGGCAATTTGCAGGCTAATAACACCACTTAAAATTTGTCTATCAAATTCGTATTTTTTTAAATTTAAATAATATAAATTAAATAGTAAAAATGATAGCTTAAGTTTTTACAGAAAATACCAAGTAGAACGGTCTATTTTTAGTACGTTCAAAGCTGTTAAAACTTCAACAAAAAAAAAATAAAATCAGGGACATGCATCGGATGAACAATTTGTTCGATTCAGTTCAGCTGTTCCAACCGTTTTTGCAGCTTTGGATTGCTCCGTAAAAGCCCTTTTTTGTGTGTGTCTTTGAGCCCTGGGGTTTGGGTTCGGTTAAACGGCTCGGGAAATCTGTTTAAAATAATGTTCGATGGCTTCAATTTCATTTATATTTTACTAATGCCAATATCTCTCAACAGGCATCTTCATTATTTTCACCAACACACCGATGACGACTCGCGCTTATCGTTCAACAGGCACAAACGCGCTGATCGATTACCCGTTCTATGATATGGAAATGACAGCACCCTTTCCGAGTAAGCGTTCAATCTCTTGCGATTCGTGCGGTAATGAATGTTCGAGCGCGTGTGGCACAAAAAATTTTCGGTAATTTGCAGTACTGAGCGCTTTCTCAAATACATACAATAATTCCAATGGAATTACAAGCTCCTAAACCCTTAACGCCATTTTCAATCTTTTCAGCACCTGTTGCTTCAACTACCTGCGCAAGCGTAATGATCCGAACGCCATGAAATCAATCAGCAATAAGCGCCTCATCGATTTCATACTTCTTCAAGGACGCGCTGCGATGTACACCTTGGATGAGCATCATCGTAGTGCTGGCGGCGGCGGCGGAGGCGGTGGAGATGAGGGCAGAGGCGCTGGTGTGGATGCTGGCATTGACGGAGATGAGCAGACTTTCTCAGCAACCAATAATGGACGTCGATTTGGCAGTGCGCATTTTCATCACAGAACCGTATAAAGGGCAAAACACTTAGTTTTATTTTTTTTTTTTTAATTTTATGCGAGTGCAATTTCATGGATTCATATGCA